ACCGGGCGGGGTGCAGGGGGTCCGGGGCTCTCTCTGCCCGAGCCCGCCAGCGAGGGCTTAGGCTTGCTGCTGCCGGGCTTGGCTGCGCGGCTTCAAACCCTGCCTGTTGTCCTTACTTGTCATTTTTAGAGGGTCTGGTGGCGAGCGGTGGACAAGCGCTGCCGGAGGGCGAGCCTGCCGCCCTGTCCAGCTCTCGGAAGCCTGGAGAGGATCCAGCGGCTGTGCCAAGGGAAGAGCTTAACCATGTTTCAAGTGGCAAACCTCTGGAGATGGAGCGGCTGGTCCCAAAGCAGGGGGAAGGAGCATCCGGGTGACCCTCATGGCAGCCAGGCCGGAGAACCGAGGGCCCAGGCAGGGCAGGCAAGCGACGGATGGTGTGTGATGAGCTTGGCAGGAGCCTCTGATGATGTTTGTAAGGACAGAAGTGAGGAGCAGCTGGGTCTCCCAGCTGGGTGTAGGGACTTGGACCATGAAGAGTGGGAAGTTGTTTCTGAGCACCTGGCCTGGGGGGAGGCTGGCAAGAACAGTGGTGCAGAAGACTCTGACAGCAAGGAATGGGAACAAGGAGACTGCGCTGATGGGGACCTGAAAGCAAAGAGGGTTGCAGCTGTGCCCCCCATGTTTCAAAATATCCACGTGACTTTCCGAGTGCACTACTACACGCACTCTGATGCTCAGCTGCTTGGCGTGACTGGTGACCACGAGTGTCTCGGCCAGTGGCACAGCTATGTTCCCCTCAAGTATGACAAGGATGGCTTCTGGTCTGAATCTGTTAGTCTGCCAGTAGACACCAAAGTGGAGTGGAAGTTTATCTTGGTGGAGAATGGGAAGGTCAGACGTTGGGAAGAATGTGGTAATAGGACCCTAGTGACTGAACATGAAGATCAAATAGTTCATCAGTGGTGGGGGTACCATTAATGGGATTTTGGAAGCTGCTTACCCAAATGGCAAAACTTGCTTATATTTATCACAGAGCCCCTAAACTGTACCCCTTCTTCAGTAGGAGACCTTTTAAAGCGTAGAGCTCTGTAAAACCTGTATCACACCTGGTTAAACTGCGTGAGCAGCAGATCTCTGCCATCCCTTGTAGGAAGTGGTTTGGCCACGTGAAAAAAACAACTTCAGATGCATTCTGAAGATGTGCAAGGTAGGCTCTGAAGGCACGGGTGGTGTTCTGTGCAGCTGCCTGTCCAGGTAAATCTGGACCATGGACTTGACTTCACGTTGCTTTGAGTGGGGCTATGGGATGCATCTTTGTACTGCCTGCTTGGGGCTTTTGAAGGATAATAGGAAGCGTGGTTACCTACACTGTAATAGCAATTTAAGTGTTTTAACTTATGTCATGTTTTAAATGAACAATAAATGCTTTCAGACTGACAGTCCATTACAACTTGACCAGTGAACTGACTGATTTTAGTAACTTTGACAGAAGTGAGTTACTTGACCCGAAATCTTAGTGCTAAATAGTTCCTCAAAAGTGGCTGGCACACTTTGGGGTAACAAAGGCGTAAGACCCAAGTACTTCATTATCTCCTCCCCACTGTCCAGGAGGCACCTCAGCTCGAGTGAAGGCTGGGCAGACAGGCTCCTTTTAGGCAGATCATCTTGCTGAGAGGAGAGCAAAGGTCAGAAAGGACTGTTTGGGCTTAATGAGTTACTTGGTCGGGGTGGGAGCAGGCTGCAGCAGAATGCTGCTCTGCTTGCCTGCTTTTCTTGTTCTTGGTTACAAATACGTGATGCTGCTTCAGCAAGCTCTTCTTTCCAAACCTATCTTTGAGCTTGCTGCACCATTTCCCTGCTGTGTACTGGGGTCTGACAAGCATAGTTTTGTAGGAGTTGTAGAAGCACGATAATAAGCGCTTTGGTTTTGGGAGATTTACTTCAAAAGCACAGTGCTGATGTAATTGCTTATGGTAATACTTTTCTGCTTTGCATGGTGGAGCAGTCAGAGTATGTGAAATAAGATCTTTTTGGTGATAGCTTAGAAGGTGAGCTTCAGAGCTCATCCAATGGTTAATGGACATCTAGTCAGTGGGAGAAGTAGCCCAGCAACTACTGCTGTGTGAGAAACAGCACAGGTGTGGAAGGAATGTGGCTTCATTTCTTCCTACTGCCTCAAAAGAGTGAGGATGGGGCTGACAATTCAGCAGCTGGTTGATACTGCTTCAGTGGTCTTAAACACAGGCAAGATGTGCACACACTAGTCCTCAACTCTCTCAATATGGGAATTAAGTTGCTTGCTACATGAATTTAGAAGGAGAATAGAACATAATTAGCATCCCCTGGGTTAAAAAATATTAACATGAGGGTCATGGCATTTTAGGGGCTACTGGTTCACTGCAACAAATATTTCTATTGTTCAGGATATATGTTTATACACAGTAATATGTTTCTATATTACTGTGTATAAACTGAAATCTCTTAAGTTCTGTTCATGTACACCAAACACTTGTGTGGGTTTCAGGCAGGCAGTAACTTGTATTTTTAACTAAATAAGTAAAGCTGTGTTGAAACTGGCTGCTTGGTACTTTAATTGCACTTTTTGCACTTGGCTTTTCTAACAATGAATTTAAGTGATCAATATACCTAATATGCAGAGGTACTGCTGGAATAGAAGGTGATCAGAAGTCACTGAAGTCTAAGCAAAACATGTTATTTCAAGCTGTGTACAATTCTTTTCTCCACTAGTGCAAGCTCTTCAAATAAAGAGATATTGGCAACTTAAAAAGCACTTGCCCAACTGCTGCTGCCATTTGAGTGTATTTATACATACATTTGAGGCTTGCCTGAGAAGATTAACTGTGGTATTAGATTAAGATATTCACTAGAAAGCCACTTAACCTACACTAGAATAGATTCTCTAATGCAATGATGAACATGTTTCAAACAGGCTAACCCTGAGAAGTCTGTCAAATTGGGAATAAGTATTTTTTTCTAATTAAACACCCTGCACCGTAATCCCACAGGCAATGCATGGAGTCCTTATGATTGCAGCATCTTGCTGGATGTTTCTACAAAGATGGGCACTGTGCTTTTCTATGCCCTCTAAATTATTATGCCCTTCACATCACTATTTGCACAGCGGGGCCTATGCTATGTAAATTAAATGTTATTTGTACAGTGATTAGTAATTTCTCCAAGTTTACAGAGGTGATCTCTCATCATTGAACAATCTATTCACTCAAGCATGATGGCAGTTTTAAACAAAGTTGCCTTGCTGCATAAAAATGATTATGCTAGAATGGGCTGATACAGGGCTAGTACAATGTCCTGGCCCTGAAACTAGTGAAGCTACACGTGAGAAACAAGTTCTTCTTGCCATTCCTACATAGATGCAGGCGCCAGCAGCTCAGGATATTTAAAAGCAAATAATGAACTGTCTTGCTTGCAGCTTGGCAAAGCCAGAGAGACAGCAATCAAAGAGCTACCTTTTACCTTCCCCTCCCCATGCTGCTGGTAACAAACTGCTGACAAATGAGAGAATTTTTAAGTTAAATGCAATCTTCTGTGCCTGGATGGTAGGCTGAGGCTGGAAGGGGCACTGGGCATAAACCAGTTAATAGTCCATACAGAAACTTCCACCACAACTTGTTTGCTTCTTATTCACTTTGCAGGTGCCTTTGCAAAAAACATGCTCACACCACATTCTCCCTGGGAGTTAAACTTACTGTTTGGAGTCTCTCCACATGATCTATTCAGAAATATTAGAGTGCTATGAGGTTTTTCTCTCTAGGGGGTTGGTTGCCATCTGTGGTGTTCTGCTGTGGTCAAGATTCACCTAACTGTCCTCCTGTCATCCACCTGTATGACACAGAATAACAAAGTGCTAGTGCTGTTTGTGCTGCAAGGTCCAGGATACACAGAGCTGCTCACCAGCTACGACCCTTTTGCCTCCCAGGGCCAATTCTCTGCCTTCTGCCAGTGGCCTGGAGGAAGCCCAGACCTGCTCCCAGCTCCGCTGGATCCCAGCACGAGGATGTTAAGCTGCCTTTCTGCTTGGCAGATGTCACTTCTCTCCAGCTATTTGTACTCTCCACCTGCTCCCTTCTGTTCTCACAGGGCTGCAGCCTTTTGAAACTCTTTTTAGCTTAGTGCCCTGAACACAACTAAGAGTGTGCTTTTCATTGACCTTTGCCAACATCCTGGGCTAGGGGCTGAACAAGTGCTTTCATTCCCTATACCTCACCCTTTTCTTACCAAAATCTCAGGAGCTCTGTCAAGTATGTATAACAAGCCCAAACTTCATCTAAAGTGATCCTTTCCTTTTCAATGCAACTGATTCCTAGGAAAGGGCAGACACCTTTATTAATATTTTGACTAAGCACTAATGTTTATTACTAACATTTTGTCTAACACTTGGAAAAAAATGACAGAATCAGTGGGAAAAAGATAATTAGGAAACACAGAAACTTATCTAATATAAATCAAAATACTTTTGACAGTAACTGAGGACAGCTTAGGAACAATTCAATTGTCTCTTCTTCCAACACAAGAAGACCTCCAACTAAAAAAAAAAAATCTCAAGAGATTTCATCTACTTGGAATATTGTTCCTTAGCTTTAAAGTCAACAAAGCTAAGCTTGTATCTGTACAGCTTGTGCTTATGAAACTACTTTTGCTGAGCTATGGCTACAAACAACCTGGTTTGGACAAAAATCACTGGGTAATGGCCTTAAATTCAAGCATGGTATTGTACCCTGCCACAGATCCAGGGCCATGAATTGCTTTTCAGAAGGTAGATAACAAGGAAAACCACAAATGCTTCTGAAGCTGACAGCAGTATTGATCTGCTCTTGATGAAGAATCCCCAAGACAAAAATCAAATGGCAAATTCTGGAAAAGTACTCGGTTTGGGGTGAGTATAAAGTTCTTCCTCCCCTGTCTTTTTTTTTCAGGTATCAGAGATGCTGTCAAACACTAATGAGGTTTTAAACATCACTCTGATAGTTCAGTGATCATGTTCATCTTACTCCTTGAGAACTGTTTTTAGCACTGGATAGTCTTTTACGTGCAGGAAGTCATTTGCCCACTGCTGCAAAATCCTCACGTCAGAAGACAATGGAAGTTTTACAATAAATTCATGTGTGCCAGGTGTGCTCAACATGCCTTCCAGTTTATTCCTAAATCTTCCACTAGGAATGGCTGTTTAAAACATTATACTTCAGGTTTCGTATTAAGGGAAGGTTGTCTGTATTGGTGACCCAACTAAAGAGTGTTCTGGAGGCCAACTATATAAAGTAATATACTCAGCTATTTTTGCAAACTTGTTAATCTGGGTGGTGGAGCCTGGCATTTAAGTCACACTAGATAGGTGTAAGAAAAAGAAGTCAGTAGAGATTCAAAATGCTTTTTTTTTTCTACTGAAACTTCACTTAGTTTTTCTAGAAGCACACAGGTTGAAGGACATGAAGTCCCAGACAAGGAACATAAATACCCTCAGCTGCAAGTCAAAATCGGAGTCCTATGCCTACAAAGCTCTTCCCAAGGCAGACTGTGGACCCTCCCTTCGTACTATGAACTCAGCCAAATATCCTAACCAGCAGTGGAAATTCCACTGAAAATACCATTCTGCTTAAAGGAGTCACGACAGAAGATGAAAACTGTGCAGTCCTGCAGTTGTAGGTATGTGGCTCAACACTTTATCTCAACATTAACAGGAGCCACAACTAGGTTTTCTGCTTTTATTGGGAATACTTGGCAGTTCTGGGACACCCAGTTTAATTAGAATTTACTGAAGTAGTAACATTAAGTATGGAGGGAGGGGAAACTGGTTTATGTTAGATTGGAAAAAAAATGCCCAACGAACCATTTTGAAACCCACTTTCTACCTAACAAGATGTGGAATGCTGTGCAAGATCTAGAACCCATGGAAGAAACACAGGGACTTGGAAGGGTCAGCAGTGCCCTGTGTCCCTCACAGCACACAGTTATGAACAGGTGAAATATATACAGTGAAAGACTCTGTATTTAGATGTGTTTCTATTCCTCTGTATTTCCCACTTGTTTAAAAATAAAACCAGCAAAGAGTGTCATGGTCCCAGGCAAGAGCTACAAAACTGCAAGAACTTTTATTATTAATCTTTAAAAAGGTATGCATGTTTTAAACCAAATGTACATATGTGAAAGCAATCCCTTATGTACATGGCCTCTTCACTTGAACAGCTTTTTCTCCTTTCCCTTTGCTCTCTCCCTCTTCATTTCCTGAGTTCTGGTCACTGACGACGTGGCTGGAAATAGCATTAACAGATTACCTGAACATCACCTTACGTTAAAATGATCGAGGCCTGAGGCGCGGGCACCTGAAGCTCTGTCACATCCTCCTGCGCGCGACGCTGTGCTTGTCCAGTCCTTGTCACTGCAGCTGGAGTTTGCAGAGCTTCATGTGCAGGGCCTGAAGAGAAAAGCTAAACCTAGTTAGAAACAGGCCCTCCCTCATTTGCTTTGGGAAGCCCAAGCACCAGAGGCTGGAGCAGTGGTGAAATGCTATTAATTTCACAATTTCTCTTATGGAGTTGTGTGACATTAATACCTTCGGTCCAACACTCATTGCCACGGGGTTATTTAATGTGTACATAACAGGCTTTCCCACTCCTCTTTTATACAGTAACTCAACACATTACAGATAGGAATATATATATTTTTATGTGGCTACAGAAAACAGGCAAACTGAAGATGTTAATGGACAACAAAGTATAAAAATGAGACCGCTTACCTTATACATTATATAAATAATTTGATTCATTTTACCTAAATCAAGTCATTTGTATGGCCCTGACATGTATGCACTGTGTGATGTGGGAAAATAATAATTTCCCAGATCTGTGCAGTGAGACTTAAAGGGCGAACAACTGGAATGTGCAATAAGAAAATGTGCAGAGAAAAGAAATTCCATCTCGCTTGGGGTCCTGCCATCCCAGGAGTTTGTGAGCATGTTACCACTGACTTCAAAGGGAGCAAGAAGAGAACTTGCAAAGTTCTCCAACATCCCTGTGGTCATCTCAGATTTAAAATGAAGTAGAGGAGGAAAGAATATGCTTCCAAGGCCACCACCGGGAAACTGTTTTTGGAGTCTACTGCTGTCAGGTTATCTTTGTTTCTGTGAAAGAGTCAGCAGCTTGTTAAAAATTTCATTTAATTGGACATGACAGCACACAAGGGCACCCCTGACCAGCTGCCATGTTTGAAATGTTAAGGATGTTGAAGCTTATTAGAGTTAAGGGGCTGAGCAGCGGTGCATTGTGGAATTAATCTAATTATTCTCCCAGGAGCGGGTTAACGTAGCAGTGGGTACTGTTAGTAAAACAGGCACACCCAAACTGACCTCATGCAAAAAAAACCAGGGAGTGCTTTGGCAGCTAACAACCAGTTTCTGGAGAGTATGGGGTTTTATATAAAATAGGAATATTTTGGGTAAATTTTGGCACCTTGGGTTTTCATCTGTAATGATTCTACCAGGTTTTGCAGGCTTTCCGTCACATTCTGTAACCTCCTATGCGTATTCTGACTAGTTTCCACAGGTTCTATAGCTAGTCAGAAAATAATTTATCAATATGTCATCACAGATTGAAGCAAACCAACAAAAGGTTACAATAAAAAAAACCCAAACCCACAACACACAAAAATAAGACAACAATTGTCATAAAGCAGTCCTGACAGCCTGGCTTGCCATCCTGTAATTAAGAGACTGCCCTGAAGATATCTGGAGTCACAGATGGAAGATCAGTGCCGTGCCAGGGCTGTACATCTGGGAATGGCTGGTCTTTCTGTTCAGCCAGGGAAATGGATTCTGTAAGCAATGTATCACAAAGGTACTTACAAAATAAATGCAGTATGGAGTTACAGCTACCACAATCATCACCTGCAGAAGACCGTGTCAGTGAATGATAGTGGGGCTCCACTGCTTTCCACAGAGTTGCTGAACAGCTGAATTTAACCTACAGTTTGTAGCTCACTGTACTCGCTGGGAAAAGACTCAGCCAAGCTCTTTGGATGAGTTCGTGGGACTGGACTTACTTATCTGGGGGGCTGTGGCTGCACCCTCTGGAGAGCCAACCTTCCTCGCAGATGGTCTGTGCTCTGGTGAGGCACTGGGGGCAGCTGCAAGGTCATCACTGGGTGTAGAAGTTAAGAGCATGTGTACTGGAGACCTCTCTCTGTATCTCTCCTCCTGAGAGACTTTCTTGGGGGAGGGTGTGTAACGAGGAGCTGCTGAGAATATGGCCACAGCTCCTAGGAGATATCCAAGCAAAGAGCAGTGAGCACACACCTGAAGAGACTCCCCCTGTACCAGCTTTGATCTGTGACAGTTACAGGGTTGGGTTCCCTTCATGACTCTTCAAGCCTTTCCATTCCTTACACAGGTCTGCTGCTTCCCTCCTTTCCAATAACTGACTGATACGCTTTGAATTCTTGGCAACAAGAGACTTGTAAGGAAAAGAGACAAGATGTGCATAGAAATCTGCAATAAACAGATTATGCAACATATTTGCATATGTGTGGGGCACAAGTGTGTGTGTAAATAAATAAAAGTTGCACGCAACTAGGGAAAAGAAGATTTACTACAACTCTTCTAGTTTTCTTCCCATAGTCTGTTTCCTTACTCTTAACACCCCTCCTGGGGCATCTTGAAGAAAATTTGGGAGGTTTCTAATAAACTGTCCTCCTTCAACTACTTCTCACGTTTTCTATGTAAAAAACGCTACTTGCAGCTATTTTGGAAGCTAGGAAAAATCTATGGATGTTGTGGTAGGTTTGCTAGGAGCCTGACAGTCAATACACAGGAGGTTTTCTTGAATTCTCAAGAATATAAAGCGCGGGCCCACAGTAGCTACTCCTCAGGACAAACATTGGAGTTCTAGCCTATCTCTGAAGCACAGTCATTTATATACTAATGCAGAACCATTAAATGCATCAGTGTCTGCAGGCAATTTTCACAGAAAATTCATGGAATAGATAATCTATGGGCAAGAAAGCAGAAGGCAGCTAAGACTCCTTTGTTCAAACCCTGATGCACAAACCCATATCATTGTATTTTTGGTTAGGTTACTAAATTCATGTCACCACACTTTAAAGGGCACTGACCACCCTGTACTTGGAAGAAAATCAATGGAGTTTGCAATGACCCGATTCCTTTCACAAGTACATCCATATTTACATACCTGAATACAGAATTCAAGAGGCTTAATTTAGGCACTGCAAATCTGCAGTATTATCCATGCTAATTATACAAGGCTATTAATGAATAAAGACCATGGAAAATATCCATTTTAGATGTGCTGGTATCAGCCTCCATGGAGCTGGTTTACAATAACATGCAGATTTTGCAGGAAGTGTAACAGAGACTTGTAATAACCTGCTAAGAGGTATTTGAGTAAAATTACCAAAGAAAATTTATTGTATTTGGACTATGTTTATGGTAATATTCTGTAGTGTTCCAATTCAACATCAATATGGGACATTCATCCTGAGATGTGGCTGGTGAAAACTTACCAAGGGATGTAAAAGGCAGGGTAATGTCTTGAGACTGAAGATCTGCAGTATGTAAACATGAAGGATCCCTGCAAACAAAATGACCACTAAACTTGCATTCTGGAAGTCTTAGGCTAAGTTTTGTAATGCTGGCCAACCTCCACAGTGAGAATGGGAGGCTCTCATGTGTAATCTTCTGATCTTACGCATGCAAATTAAAAGCAAACAATGTAAATCAGCTCTATAGCTCTTTCTTAGAGGGATGAAAGTAAAATCACAGCTTTGTTTTTTAAGCTTTTAGCATTATGAATAAAATAATACCAAAAAGCTCAGGACTGATGCTGTATTAAGAAAGCCTTAGAAACCGAATCTCAAACAAGTACTTTAAGAAGCAGGTTACTCAGCTAAGTGATAGTGTTTCTCACCTTCCAAAAGTAGCCTTTTCCACAATGGCTTCTGTAGCAGAGTCTCTAGCTCCAGTCCCCCTACAAGGACAATCAGGTTGCTGTCAAAATCACAGCAAAAGTTGTGCCAGTAGATTGCTATGCTTCACCTTTTTAGAAGATAAGCTTCTTTTTGAAGCAGAGTGCAATGGCAGCGACCTTCTAATAGTGAAGAAAAGGCATTGTAAAATTGTTACACAAGTTCACTAAAAAAAAAAAGTCTACTAGAGTTGGAGTGAATTTAAACTACTGAAATAATAGATAACTTTGGGATATAAAGGACTAGATTTGTTATGAAGACCAGGCAGTCATAAAGATGGAAGAAAGACGATAAACTTCTGCTTCAGACAACTTATGCTACTGCAATCTTCCTTCTGGTCACTCAGACAACACTGCTTCTATTTAGCTCCTTTGGACCCTAACTTTTTTTGCAGAAAGGCATCCTATAGTGCTCCTGAAGCACACAAATAGCCACACCCTAGTTTAAGAAGGCAATACAAGCACTCGGCACACAACAAAAGTAACAGCAAATTACTCCTACACTGTATTCCTCACGGTTCCCACCATGGAAGAAAGTGATTTCTTCTTGCCATTGCTGTCATCCTTGCCAAGATCCACAGAGGGAATGTCATTCTCTGAACTTGTTAACTCTTGAAGAATCCTCTTTAGATCCTGCAGTGGTTCTTCCTTCAAAATGCCTGGCTTGGAAGGCACCTGAAAGAAAATCATTCAGTTACAAAGTATTTATGAAGGCACTCTCTTCTTACCTATACTCTTCCAAAAACCACGTTTTTGCCCTCTCTACTCTTGTCTTATCCATTACAAACAGGGTGGATTTTCTGTGGTTTTAGTTACAAAGTTTTGGATCACGATAACTTGAAGATTGTCAAAATACTCTCTAATGGCAGTCTGAAAAGTCATCTGACAGAAATGTGTAAAGCAACTAAATATGATTGAGGAGAACATGGCTAACATCTGCATTTTGAATATACATTGTAAAAAGGTTACAACTATTGTTTCAAGGACAAAACGAGTAAAATGAAACTTTAATTATGAGAACTGTCCCCCCACACCCCAGTCATTACCTTTTTCAGTACACGGAACCAATAAACTTTGCTTATGTGACAACTGTTTTCTCCTTTTTATCCTGAGATCCCAGATATTACTGTACAAACACAGCTCTGAGGACAGAAATACTAGTTTTCAGAGTGTTTTCTAGGCATTCATTTCTGTAACAGCTGAGCTGTCTGTGAATATAAATCACTTTATTGCCATAGTCAAACTCTGAGATTAAGTGCAATAATTATTCTCATTTTACTGATCAGAACTTGAGGCAAAGGCCTGGTTCAAAGAATCCTTTCTTTCTGTGAAGAACTGGATTTTTCAGACTACTCAGCACTCCACATGTTCAAGTGCTGCTCCTGCTGACTTACACATCATCTGTAGGTGGAACTGGCTAGAAACATTTTGCTGCTGTGTTCTCGTTGCTAAGAATGTAATTTCCAATGGGAACAGAGTATCAGCAGAGCTCATATGGAAAGCAAATCCTCAGCTGCACAATGGGTCAGTGTGATACTGTGTCAGACCAAATCCTTCCTCCCCACATTCTGGCTATGAAATAAGGATACTGACTACCAGGTAGAGTCTCAAATGTTGGAGCTGCTTCATTTTGCACAATAACCCATCATGCAGGAACCAAGAAGATTCAAGACCTTGAATCAAGTTCTCCTACAACCTGTTAGGTCCTTATCATGGTACTACATTAAAATCAGTCCTTTTTCCTTCTTTATACTCAGAAGTATGAGCTGATCAACTCAAATAAAAGAGAATGGGAGTGCCTCATGCTGCAAAGATTTCACAGAATTAATTATCCTTTGCTCTTTGATGTAAATGATTGTCATCACATCAGGAAGTAAAGCAGAAAAGTGTCTGCACTAACTTGTAGCCTCCTACAGATTCTGAGTATAAAATTAATGAAAATACCTCAACCAATTTCTGTGGGAGATAAAACTTTTGGAGAATTATACAGAAAAGACAAAAATTTTTCTCTGTGTGTGACAGATTTGAGTTTATGTTTTCTGTAGCGAAAAATGAGAACGACACTAGCACCTAATTTAAATCTAAAATGTAGATATACAAAAACAAAGGAAGCAAGGACAATGTATGTATCTTCTAAGATAAAATTGGTCAAAATCAGTGAAGGCCAGCCTGGCGAAAGATTTAATTACTAAAAGCTACTGCAAGTCCATCAGATGATGAAATTTATCAGGAACTATGTACAAGTCTATGGTCTCTGCCAAATGTAAATATCTACAGCAAGTAAAGTATTAGTAAAGAAAAAAAGTGAAAACCAAACTGCTTGCAGATCAGTACCTTCAGTTTTAATGCTTTTTAAGTGTTATTGGTGATAGTGGTAAGACTAACTCGTATTGCAATCTGTAGAATTTTTTATTGTCTGGGTTTTTTTCACGTATATTTTGCCAACGGGCAATAAAGAAAATCTGAAAGGTCATAATGGATGAGAAGCTACACAAAATTATTTCATCTTTGGGGTTAGGAATTCACTCTTGGACACCTCCACCAGATGCTCACCCATTTAGAATTTCCATGTTATTTTTGCCTTTTGGAACACGCCTGTTTCCCAGGCAGTTTGAGGCAGGTACTCACACGAGGGGCAGAGCTGGTGGAGGTCAGGGAAGGTGGCAGGAGAGCAGAGTGCCAGTGGGAAAGGGGCACCACGTGCCGCAGCTTGCCTGGAGCAGAAGCTGATGAGTAGCCTGGGCCCTGCAGCTCTTGGGGAAAAACACCAGCCAAGTGCAGTAAGCAAGTATAGCTTGCTGCAGTGTCACTTTTATCAGCATTTTAACGCATGCTCTGGAACCACATTTCGATCACCGCATCATTTTCACCATGCCCTGTCTTTCACTACATTTTGTTATGTAGCTTGACAGATGTCATTTACCGGTCTTCCTTTTTCTGCCCAGATGCCACATGACTGTGTTTCCATTATCCATGCTAACATCTCTTTGTCTCTTAATTTTTTTTTTTAATGCTGCCTAACTAATTAGCATAGTCAAATTAAACTCAGCGCCCTTGTTTCTAGCCCGTATGTAGCTTTAAGGTTACAGGTTTTATTTCAGGCCTGAAAAAGCATGTGGGTGCCCAAAAGCTTGTAAGTGCAAGAAAATGCTGAAACAAAAGCTTAGCAGCTAAAGTGTATGGTCCAATATTCTGGCAGCTGTTTAATTTTTTTGTTGCCCTTACTGTAAATAGCACTTTAAAGTAACTGAAATGTGCATTTCAGTGGCTGTGACTTGTGCAGCCATGAGGTATTCCAGGTGAAAAAAAAGCCTTCAGAACACAAACTTTATTTCAAGTACTTTGCAATAAATAAAGTTAAACCTGAAGTTAGGACAAAAAGTAAACACACCTAACTTGATACTCATGCTTCTCTGCAAGGTACTTACTTTTAGATCTAAAGTGTGCTGCAGTCTGAAGCGCATCACCTCCTGTTGCTGACACTGGATTATGCACTGACATTCTGCAAATTGCATGAATGCCTGCAAGAGGGAAGAGGAATACATTAATTTGGCTAACTTTCTGTGGGATGTACTTTTTCCTGTTTTGTTTCTGATCAAGAAAAACAAGGTACACGCAGAGATGCTGCATTTATTATAAAAATACTCAACATGAGCAGATACCTTTCTTGACAGGCTTACAAAACCAGCTGCCTGGTTACGTGATCCTAGTAGCCACAATCTGCTATGTTTCAGTATCAGAGAAGGGAGCTAATTCTGCCAGGGGCAGTCCCACATCTACTGAACACCTCTGGGATTAAAACATTCAGCTGTGCTAATGAGGCAAAATTATATTCAAGGTTTTAAAAAGTATAGCTGACAATTTTGTTGGCCTGTCTTTGGTAAGTGGTTATATACTCTTTCTTCTTGAAAAGGTTTACTCTGAAAAGGTGGGAGATGATAGCATCGTTTCCCTGAGGCACTGTGGATCTATCACTTTTCTCATCCCAAGAGACTGGAGAGGAAAGCAACCAGAAGTCTCACTGAGCTGGAAGCTACCTTAGGTTACCTTGTCAAGGGCCATCTCCATCTTAGATATTTTTTCTCTCAGTCGTTTATATTGTGACCTCAGGATCTCCACTTCCCCAGCAATCTTAGTGTTCTCTGCTGTAATACTGCTCAATTCTTGACTTAGTTTACTATTTTCTTCTCTGAGGTAACGCTTCTCCTGAATTTAAGATGAGGACAACAAAGTAGAAGTCAAAAAACTTAAAACTATCTACATTATACATATTTATTTTCCGCATTTTTTTCTCTCTTTGAAAGATCTGAATTAACTCTTTCAGGAGCCTAGTTATTGCATCTTGCAGAAAGGTCAGGTTTTTGCTGCAACAAGATAGGTCTTGTAATGAAAATTACAATTGGACTGCTCCTGATGAAATAATATTTCATATTTTATATCCATTTTAAAATCAAAATCTGAAGCTTCAGGATCCACAGTATCCAAAGCCAGTAAAGAAGATAGATACAAATGATCATTCAGTAAACTCCAGATGTTGGTAACTGAGCAGTGTGTCACAGAAAATGCTAGGAAAGACTCAATGTGCTAGACAGACAGTGACATATAGAGTTTACAAGCAGAACAGCAAAGAACTGCCTCAGAAAACAGAGGAGAAGTATTGTGGGCCAAATTCAGAAGGATGCAAAATGCAGTAGTTGGAATTTTTAAAAAGAACTGATATGCAGGAGCCTGATTATCACTGAAGCTAGTAATTTTCTTTCACAGAAAACAAATACATAGTAAAACTTGTCTCTACACAGAAGGCTAACTTGGGTGGTGGAGATATTCCCCAATACATGCTAGTTGGAGGACAGGGAAGGTGCCCATTACATAAGAAAAATTGTCTTCGGTCCTTCTAGGGGCAATTGTGCCTCTGGCCATGCATTTCTACAGAGAAAAAATTCTCTAAATATAATTAAACTAGCTTTACACGGAGCTCTAGAGACCTTAGCTGCATTTGTCACTGCCTCTTCCAAGAATTTAATCTTGCTCTGTAATGCATCTATCTGTCCTCTCTTGGCTGTAATTTTCTTCTGCATTGCCACTGCAGCTTTCATAACTGTAAAAGACAAAGTCAATTCTCAATTAAAAACATTGATTATGCATTCTAAGTTCCACCAAAAGACTCTGGAAGTCAGACAACGTTACAGTGTGTGTAATTTTGGGGAAGTTCAATCCAGAATTACCATTGCCATCAGATCCCTCCATAGTGTTTAGAGCAGTTCTAGTCTGTTCGAGTTCAGCATGGGCAGATTTCAACTGCACTTTCAGTCTGTTTGCAGTATTTTCCATCTCCTTGATTTTATCCTGGTAATCCCTCTTCAGATCTTCAAATCCCTCTGTTAAGAGTAAGTCAAGATTGAAATTACAGTGACCAAAAATGAGCATTCTTCTAGACTAAGATTCCTGATCTGTCACTTGCTCTCTTTAAAGGAGTATTAGATTTGCAGATGCTAAGAAGTATCATTCACTGCTAACAAATTCACAGCTAGTAGTTCATTGTCCTGCATGTCAGCCACAGCTTGTTCCACCAGAAACAAAAACGTTCTTTGGTCACTCAGCAAAGCAACAGTTCAAGAAAGTGTTATAAATACACACTTCTGAGTTCCTGCTCCTAGAACCAGCTGTGTTTTGTGAAAGTTAAGGGTACCAGTGAGAGACAGCATTTTGCCCTGGTCATTCTTCTCTCTGGCCACCCTCACAACCAGACTTAGGTCTGAACTGACCTCATTTGACTCATTCTTCCACAACTCTGCTTCTTAGCTCTGTTTCTTCTACTTCTACTACACAAGTCTAAGGCTGATTTGTCATGTAAAGTCACAGTTCTCTGTTTAATTCTTACAAAACTTAGTGAGTTAGAAGTCCAGCTGAGTTGTGAAGAAATGTTACCAGTAGGCATTTTATGAGGGTAGAGGGGTGTGCAGAGAGCGAAGGCTGTCAACATCACCCAGCTGGCTGCAGTGCAGATTGAAGAGAATCTCCTTGAATTTTGGTGGGTGCCTTGGGTCCAGCCCTTATTTTGTTTGTTTGGTTTTGTTTGTTTTTTTTTAAATATTATCTTGGTCAGCTTCCCCAGGTATTAGTTGTGAAAGCTACTAGTAGAGTTGGAACACAAACTTTTAAATAACATTGCAGCAAAACTACAGCAAAACAGAAACAAAGTTCCACGGTCATTTGAACATAATGGTTAATGTGCTCCAAGGTGCTCTTAAGTAATACTCAGGAAGAAGCGGTCAAGTTTCCATTCTCTGATTTACTAAATCTGCTTCTCTGGTCTCCAGAATCATGCTGTTTAAGTACTTTTGCTCAGGGTAGTGAACAAAAGAGTATTCCCATCACTCCATGCCAAAATCCCAAACCACGACGTAGCTCTCTGCAGCAATCTGACCATCCCGTGCTGGCAGGGAACCTTCCACTGTACCCGCAGCCATATATGGATTCAGCAAGCAAGCTGCTCTTTTATTTTTAACATCAGCCCAACTTAGCACCCATCAGAGCTGAGCAAAGTTGAGGCTTTCTACCTGCAAGGCCATCTAGGTTACTCTGACTGGCCTGGAGTTCATTCATGAGCTGGTCTTTTTCCAGTTTCATATCATTAAGTGCACGAAGCCTCTCAGTGCATGTTTTAACCAGTTCAACCTTTTCCAGTTCCAGCTGATTCACTCTGGACTCCACTTCCTGTATTCTGGCTCCTTTCTCATCCTTTGCAATCTACTTAAAAATAAAGTAACTGTGTAAGAGACATATTTATATAAAACAATCACAATGATGTGCAGACTTCATCACTACTTTAAATCTCAGCTGTCAGGAGAACAGTTTGGGGCAAGAAGACCAGACTAGTCTGTACAACAGACAAATTACTTGTATGAAAATTGCTAATTCAGTCAAAAAAGGGTACAAGAGAATCTGATGTGATAGCTTTTCAGCATGTTTAACCTTCCCATGTGTATGACATGAAAAATTATTTCCACCCTCTTGTAGCAGGACCTCCATATTCACACCTTATGCTCTGAAGAGGATGAAATTCCCTATCAGGAGTTATTTTTTTTCTGCAGATGCTGACCCACATAAGACTCTCACATCCTGTAATTCTTGTCTGAGAACTAACTGGTTACAACCAGTGTACAGCCAGCTCGGAATTCTGAGTGCTCGCTGTCTGTTATTTCTCAGTAACACCTTGTATTTCTGGTTCTGCTACTGGCATGGACAACTGTGTCACTGAGGACAGCGTGGTACATTCTGGCTTTCACAAGCCTTTTGGCAACTGCTTTTCACCAGTAAATTATTCATTTTTGGTGGCAATATTATTCTTCTTTGCCCTCTTTTAGTGCTGTTAGGATTCAAGCTGCATTGTCTGACCAGCTTTAAAACCATATTATCAGCACATTAAGGTACAGATTTAAAACCAGAAAACATTTACACTCTTGCAGAGGCATAAACACAGCAACATTTGCACACCTTAAGTTCTTCTACTTGGAGTTTCCAGTCATTTATTTCTTTTAGAAGTTGAGATTTCTCAACTGCCATGGCTCCAGCAGTTTGACTGTGCTGGCCTACAATCTGGGTCATGGCATCAATTTGCTTTTGGAAGATCTCAAGAATCCTTTCCTTCTCAAACACCTGCAGTTTCAGCGTTTCACACTCCAACTGCACGCCGCGTAAACGCTCCCCTTCATTCCTCAGGTGCTGGAGCTCCTGCATCCTACTGCCCAGTTGTGAATGTAGCCTCTTGATTTCCTTACTGGTAACCTCAAGGGCTCTCTCCTTCTCCTGCACACAGGCTGTCAGTTCTGCCACTGTTTTCTCAGAAGTCTCCAAATTGTTCTGTTTGGCTGTAAGATCATCTTTAACTTTACGTAGTGTTTCCTTGGTTGACTCCAGCTGGACAGTCAAAGAGGAGATTCTTCCAATGCTTTCATTTTTTTCCTTAATTGCAGCCATCTGAATAATAGCAATAAAAGGAGAAACAAAGAGAAACGTTTATTTCTACCTTTGGAATTTCCTGTCACATTTCTGGTTTTCCATAGTTCATCTTAAACATCTGAGTTTTACTGGAAAGTTAGGTCTGCACAGTCTGGCCTACAATGATTTGGTGATTCTTCTAGTTTTCTTCCCTCTTCCTTCATTTTAAAAAATGATATATTACTTAGAATATTTGGGGTTTAATCACAGAAAATGAATGATGTTAAACTGATGTAAAAAAAACCTGGATAAACTGGCAATGTTAGTATAAAATTTAGAACAGTTGAGGCTAAAGAACTTTAAGTGTTAAAACTCAACTGACTGCACTGTAAGTTGGAATTCAAATGTACATGAATAATTACTGATTTTATTCCTGCAGGCAGCAATGTGTACCATTTAAAGCACAAAGTATTGTGACTCAGGACTGCTAATAGTACAAACAGAAAAAAACAATGAGCTTTAACGTGGGAGGATTTTGAAGGAAAAAATAATGGACTGAGAAAGTGTAGAATGATGTATGAGCCTGTGGTTTGGTAGAAAATAAAGGAATTAACTTGATCTCTACTTATAATGCAAAGTGGGTTCCCTATTTACAGGTCATTTTTGAGGGGCTGAAGTCTTGAAGAAAGGGGAATGTAGTACAAGTCAGTGTCTTGGAATCTACTTTGCCAGAAGTGTTTTTTTCTGATGCAGCACTGCATTCAGATCAGGGTTATAAACATATGTTTTCATTAAACACTACTTACCTTATGTAAAGTAAGCATTTTTAATAATATTTGGCATTTCTTTATATATACAAAATATTAAAATATGTTTATTAATATTAT